GTGGATGTACTGGTTGTTTATTAGACTCTATATAGATAGATGTCTGGATGTACTGGTTGTTTATCAGACTCTATATAGATAGATATGTGGATGTACTGGTTGTTTATCAGATCCTATATAGATAGCTGTACTGGTTGTTTATCAAACTTTATATAGATAGATGTACTGGTTGTTTATCAGGCTCTATATAGATAGATGTACTGGTTGTTTATCAGACTCTCTATAGATAGATGTACTGGTTGTTTATCAGACCCTATATAGATAGATGTACTGGTTGTTTATCAGGCTCTATATAGATAGCTGTACTGGTTGTTTATCAGATCCTATATAGATAGATGTACTGGTTGTTTATCAGACTTTATATAGATAGATGTACTGGTTGTTTATCAGACTTAGCCTGTTAAACAACCAGTACATCTATTTATATAGAGTCTGATAAACAACCAGTACATCTATCTATATAGAGCCTGTTAAACAACCAGTACATCTATCTATATAGAGTCTGATTAACAACCAGTACATCTATCTATAAATAGTCTGATAAACAACCAGTACATCTATCTCTATAGCCTATATAGATAGATGTACTGGTTGTTTATCAGACTCTATATAGATGGATGTACTGGCTGTTTATCAGACTATATATAGATAGATGTACTGGTTGTTTAACAGGCTCTATATAGATAGATGTACTGGTTGTTTATCAGACCCTATATAGATAGATGTACTGGTTGTTTATCAGACCCTATATAGATAGCTGTACTGGTTGTTTATCAGACTATATATAGATAGATGTACTGGTTGTTTATCAGACTATATATAGATGGATGTACTGGTTGTTTATCAGACCCTATGTAGATAGATGTACTGGTTGTTTATCAGACTCTATATAGATAGATGTACTGGTTGTTTATCAGACTCTATATAGATATATAGATGTACTGGTTGTTTATCAGGCTCTATATAAATAGATTATTTTAAGGGTAAACATCTAACTGGCGATCGGAGGTTAAGACTGGTAGATTGTGTATCTCCACCGCAATGTGGGTTCTACTTCCGTAGTGACCTCCAAAACCCAGGGCACATTTTATATCCGACATTATAGCCTTTATCCTGTGGATCCTTTTAAAGTTTTGTAACGTCTTCAATTTTAATTTTTGTTTGAGCCTGTTTTGTTGATTAATTTTCTATACATATATATTCTAACACTTGTTTTCTCTTTTTTTCAGTTATATAATTTTTAATTACATATTTTTAAATTATATAATTTTTCTTTAATTAAAAAAATTTCTTTAATTAAATAATTTTTAATCACATATTTTTAATTATATAATTTTCTTTAATTATATATTGTTTTAATTATATAATTTTCTTTAACTAATATTTTAATTATATATTTTAATTATATAATTTTTAACTACATATTTTTAATTATATAATTTTCTTTAATTAAATAATTTTAACTACATATTTAATTAATAATTTTCTTTAATTAAATAATTTTCTTTAATTAAATAATTTTCCTTAATTATATAATTGTTTTTAATTATATACTTTAACATATACACATGTATGTATGTATGCCTCAGTATATCTTCAAACAACCACGATCTCTTTATACACAATTTAATACATTATATTCAGAATGTTAATCAAAGTTTTACAATGGGCTGTCTGTGTTGTGCCCACCAAAAGTAGGACAGACGGTTAACAGCTTTCATCTCGTATTTATTTTCTCTATCTTTAGATTATCTCGATAGTAAGAATAATTTGTTTAACCCTAACTGAATTAATTTGAGGATAGAAAATAAAATATATCCAGCACTTGGAATATTAGTTAATTAATTCATTAATCTGTTTTTGTTGTTGTTTTTAAAGTTAAAAACTTTAACAAATACTTAGTAGTTTCACGTGAAAAATACCGAAATTCACATGTCTATATTTGCCACAACTTTGGACACATTTTTATTGAAGGAATTTAAGTGACTGTTTAATTTGATGGAATAAACTAGTTTATATTTGTTATTTAACTTGTGTTTTTTCATCCGCTAGGGGCATTCAAGCTTTACGATGTCGACAATGACGGTAGTATCACTAGAGAAGAAATGTACAACATTGTCGACGCAATTTATCAAATGTTGGTGAGTAATGACAATAATGACAACTTTCAATAACAGTATGTCTTTATAACAAGTTGTTACATAGCTTTAAGTAATGACAAGTCTTAAAAACCAGCTGTTACAAAACTTTCAATAACAATATGTCTTTATAACAAGTTGTTACATAGTTTTAAGTAATGACAAGTCTTTATAACAAGTTGTTACATAGCTTTAAGTAACTATAAGTCTTTATAACAAGTTGTTACATAGTTTTAAGTAACTACAAGTCTTTATAACAAGTTGTTACATAGCTTTAAGTAACTATAAGTCTTTATAAGCTGTTACACAGCTTTGAGTAACTACTGCTGGTTATAGAGACTTGTTGTTACTCAAAGCTGTGTAACTGCTGTTTATAGAGACTTGTTACTCAAAGCTGTGTAACAGCTGGTTATACAGACTTGTTGTTACTAAAAGCTGTGTAACAGCTGGTTATAGAAACTTTGGTTATAGTGACTTTTAAGTTGTTACTCAAAGCTGTGTAACTGCTGTTTATAGAGACTTGTTACTCAAAGCTGTGTAACAGCTGGTTATACAGACTTGTTGTTACTCAAAGCAACGGGTTACAGAGAGTTGTTGTTACTCAAAGCTGTGTAACAGCTGGTTATAGAGACTTGTTGTTACCATCTGTTACACAGCTTTGAGTAACAACAAGTATCTATAACCAGCTGTTACACAGCTTTGAGTAACTGTAAGTTTCTATAACCAGCTGTTACACAGCTTTGAGTAACAACAACTCTCTGTAACCAGCTGTTACACAGCTTTGAGTAACAACAAGTCTCTATAACCAGCTGTTACACAGCTTTGAGTAACAACAAGTCTCTATAAACAGCTGTTACACAGCTTTGACTAACAACAGGTCTCTATAACCAGCTGTTACACAGCTTTGAGTAACAACAACTCTCTGTAACCCTTTGCTTTGAGTAACAGCTTTGCCTTGTATTCTTAACCAAACTAAATTGACGGTTGTGATATTTTTAATGACACTTCATTCTGTACGTTGTTAGAAAATCATACTCGACTTCTTCATTAGTAAACCAAGGACAGGCTCATTAGATCTTTTTTTAGTAAAATCAATCTCGGTTTCGTTCTTCCATAAATATTTCCGACGTGGTATGGTATTGATTATTATTTACTCAGAACTGTAGAGGCCATTTTGAAATTACTAGCACGTACAACTGTTCTCGATATAGTGCGTTAATCGTCTAACACAGATTCTCTAGACTTTAAGTTTCGATTGAATTTTGCTACGTGTTCTTGTCATATTTGAAGAGCAGAAGAAACCCCATTAACAACCATCAAGGAGTAATGACATATTTGTTTTTGTCCACGGCTTTCCCCTTACATACACCTCTCCACGATAAAAATGAATACAGCTTGAAAGTGGTCAACTAATTAATCCTAATATTTCAAGTTTCACCTACTTCCTGAAACTTGTCAAACAAGAAAAAGCTTCAGATTAATGAAAAGTTAAATTTATTAAATTATGCTATCGTTCTAATGGTTGCTAAAGGACCATATAGTTATTCTGATAAATTATTACAGCAGTACTCGTCATACATAAATATGGTAAAGAAATAAATCTATAAAAATATGCATTAACACCGCTAGATGGTGCTCGTTATTAAAACCGTGAACATACATATGCACGTTTACTGTTTTGTATATTTAAAATATTTTGAAATTTGAAACATATCCTTTCTGGATTAACAGAGATAGCCGATTAATAAAGTATAATTTTTATTTCAATGACGTAACGAATATTAGGCACTTAAATATTGATAAAGATATTAAATATTGAATAAAGATATTAAATATTGAATAAAGATATTAAATATTGATAAATA